GGGGTGGCGGTTTTTTTACGTCTTTGAAACATTGCTGGAAAAAAATAAACCTAAGATTTGCGAAGCGGTTTGATCCCAGTGGTACATTAGCCCCTGGCACTTATCATTTGGATCCCTGCTTTTTTGTTGATCTTGCATATAAAATCCAGGCGGTCGGCTTGCTTACTGTGAGCAAAGCTTTAATCTAATCTAGCAAAAAAAACTTCAGTCACGTGCTTCTGAATATGCATTTTTATCTATACGTTGTTTAAAACGTCGTGATTTTTTCGATATTTCTTTACATTCTGTTGTATTTTTTTCCGTTTTTCAACAATTGTGCTTTTGGCCAATTGTGCTATATTAAATTTAAATTCCATTTTTTGTTTGTATAAAATTTGTTGTTTTCTAAATGTTCCTGTATTCGTTCGTTCTTTGACAAGGTTCTGCTAAATTTTGATGTTGCGTTGTTTTACTGAGTTTGTTGCGCGTAAATTGTTTTTTCAGATTCTTATCGTCGGACTCTTGTCATCACTGGGTTGTTATCACCCAGTACCATATATTACAGTCCAATTGAAAAGTCGGACAAGCGATGTTTTTTGCACCAAATTTCACTCAAGATGAGTCGTAGAAACATAAAGTCACAGCAATACTTATGGCCTCGGCTACTGCAACGCTAAAAAAAGGACATTTTTTAATTTTCTATCCAAGAATGGGGTGTGGTGCCGATTACTTTGCATGTGTAACTGTAGACATGGAAGTTCCGGTGTGACGAGACAATGGAGTTTCTCTTATACCACTTTTTCTTCTACTAAGTGAGAACTTGCTCTCAGTTCTGAGTAGATTAAGTGAAATTTCTGTCCCGGTTTTTCAGGTTTAACTATTTCCAACCCTAGCCGCCCAAATATTAAGCGCAGTTCAACACGTGTCCCAGATATTAACCGCAGTTCACCCTCCGCCTATGAATATTTGCAGTATGAAATTGTGCACATTAGTAGCAGTCATTTGTACTAATGAATTACAATGATTCCTAACGAATGTCGGGAAAATTCAGCACTCTCTATGTTTCGGTTGCAGAGTTACGTCACATTTCACGTGTTAATACTTACATGTACATGTTATCCGTTTGAACACGAGAAAAGACCAATCGCTGGGAAAATCCGATTACCAGTTACTGGAAAAAAGGCCATTAACCGCGCCCAGGGCCTGTTAATCCGACAGCGGCAGCGTCAGAGCTAAGGGGCTGCGCAGGTCCGTTTATTATAGATAAAATGGCATGGAGCCATTAATTTGGGCGTCCTCCCAATCAGCTGTATCGAACAAAGACTGTCACCGTTAGTTCAGCAAAAAGCGGAGCTAATGTCGCTCTTGGGAAGCTAATCAAAGATCATCTGAAGGGACTAAAGGAGATTATCTGAGGATCATCTGAAAGATCTATTATGAATATCTGAGATACGAAATCGTGTACATTACAATCATTGTACGCAAACAATCAGAAATTTGTACACAGTCATTTGTACGAACGAATAATCAACAGAGATGCAGTACGCGAGACACACATGCGAAATATTATAGATATATAGACATAACATAGGTACCGGATGGCTCAAGGTACCGGATGGCTCGCTCCTCCAAACAGTTGTCGACGAGTATACATACAGATGCTATACCTTACATTTGCATCTGTGAAATATAGCGCCATTATAGCTTTAGTGCATGCACTGTGCGTTATATACAAGCAACATAGGTGTATTACGCGACAGGAATCGCGATAACTTATGTTTTCTTGGTACTATGGGTATACAGTTCGTATATTATATACGTTCTACTGCATCATCTGTACAAGATACCGAAAATTTAACGCAGCATCGCTTCGGTGTATGTACTGTATACATTATATATACAACGTGGCTGCAGTATGTACATGCTGAAGTTTCTGTGTATATATTGCATTTTTTTTTTCTAATCAACAATTTTACGGTAAGTTTTGCGGTAAATTTATGCAAACAAATGTCATTGTTACGGAACGGCATTTAACAATATATAAACTATGATAAGCAACTGCTGGGAAAGTCAGCAGCACATTTACAATTCATGTACAGTATATGTATGACAATGGAATTTGGGAGACCATCGGTCTGCATCCAAGCAGCGAGTTAGACAAGGGGAGCCATAAGCAGTCAGTGTCCTAGTGTCCTCGACGTTTTGTTGCTCATAGGGACCAGAACCGGAGAATGAGTTTCAAGTAAGCCTACTGGGAACGAAGGGAAAAGGAAAAAAATGTCACGGGAAAATGGGCCCGAAGACAATCCTGAATTGTGCAAACAATCAGGGGAAGCAATAAACAGCCTGCACAGGTTTCGTATTTTACCTCAGAAATTGACGCACAACGAAATCTTCCGAAGAGCAAATGGAAGATGCATTTACTGGGGATGAAGTGGGAAAGCTGAAGTTTTGGAGGATGTTTTCCTTCCAGATAGAACTTAAAAATGTTAAATTCAGATCCAGAATTGCTTGGTTCTCATGTTCGGGCCTGTGATTTTTAGCGAGAAAATTGCTAACTCCAGAACCAAAAGCAGAAGAACTGAAATTTTGACCTGATGTTCCCTGCTCAAGTTGCACAATTAACTTCCAGAATTTCGAAGGCCAGCATGTCACAAATTCTAGCTACTGGGATTCCAGGCGATATTGCAAAAATGCGTGATCGCACAAGCCCGCCTGGTGTGCCTAACCAATGATCTCACGGCCTTCCATCCCCTCACGCCTTTCCTGTGCTCCTGTCCCCTCTTCATGTAATATGATACAAGAAAAGTCGGTTTTTTCGATTTCTTTTTCTTTCCTGAGAATTTTTGTATAAGTTGAGTTTAGTTTTGAACTGTTTGCAGCACTCGTCAATGTAACCGGAAAAGTATCCAACTGCTTAGTTTAAAAACGACATTGTAAACTGCAGTTGGCCAAAGTACATACTAAAGCGGTTTTATTTTTGATCCAGCGTACGACTTCTAGGAAATAAGCACATGTTCTGGCAATCAACAGTTTAATTAACAATGTGCAACAGCAGTGGTGTATCCAGACCGTGAGCTGCCAACGCCCTCTTTCTTATTCTGGAAAGAAAGCCAAATCGCCGATATTGGGAGAAGAAACATCTATGGAATGATCTGAAAGCAGCAAAATATTACCAAAGAATACGAAATTTAGTGCAGATATGGCATGTATTTTCATCAATTTAGTGAGCAACTCAGTGAAAAGGGCGCGAAACCTCGTCACAGCTAAGGGATGAAACACAGACAACTTCTCCATGCGCTTATTAAATATACGACTTCTAATTATGCTTTCTATCGTAATATTACAATAAAACACCTCGTTTCCTTTCTAATGAGAAGTGGAAGGTGTTTGGGAAGTAGCCCGATCGTACTACTGGGCAACGCGAATATTCGTTGACGAGTTATGGCTCATTGTGGTTTTGTCACCTTTTTAATAAACATATAGGCTTATTATTTAAATGGCGGACGGAAGGCCGTACTAACGGAACAATTTTACAGGGAATATGACAAATTGGACCCAAATGCATCTGATGGATCTTGCGAAGAGGACCAAAAATTTCTCAGGCGTCGGACTGGAAGGATTTGTCCGAGTAGCGTAATCCGGTGAAATGATTCGTCTTGTGAAGGTATTTTTCGCCCTTTTTATCGAACACCATGAATCCTATTTGCAATTTTACAGTTGATGCTGTTGCTTTTGCTGCTACTGCTGCCGCTAGCGTTGCTGCTGCTATTGCTGCTGCCACTGGTACTGCTGCCGTTGTTGCTCAGTTTTATTTTGATTTATAAGATCTGGACATTCTGCAAAGCGGGAAAAGGGGAGGGAAGGGGGTGG